GAAAAACGCCACCAAAAACAAATTCTTTACCCCCTTAACCCCCTACAACCCTCTGGGAGGGGGTTAAAATTTTAAATTTCACAAAAAGTCAAGTTCGGTGTCTAATCCTACGTTTTTTGGGGCGCTGAAATCAAAAAACGCCACCAAAAACAAATTCTTTACCCCCTTAACCCCCTACAACCCTCTGGGAGGGGGTTAAAATTTTAAATTTCACAAAAAGTCAAGTTCGGTGTCTAATCCTACGTTTCTTGGGGCGCTGAAATCAAAAAACACCACCAAAAACAAATCCTTTACCCCCTTAACCCCCTACAATCCCTGGGAGGGGGTTGGAATTTCATTTTTCACGAAAAATCGAGTACGGTATCTAATTCTATGTTTTTTGGGTGTGTTTTTTGATTTCAGCGACCAAAAAAACATAGGAATAGATACCGTACTCGACTTTTTGTAAAAATTGAAATTCCAACCCCCTCCCAGGGGGTTGTAAGTGTTAAGGGAGGAAAGGACTTGTTTTTGGTGTCGTTTTTCGGTTTCAGCGACCCAAAAAACATAGGATTAGACACCGTACTCGACTTTTCGTGAAAAATGAAATTCCAACCCCCTCCCAGAGGGTTGTAGGGGGTTAAGGGGGTAAAGAATTTGTTTTTGGTGGCGTTTTTTGATTTCAGCGCCCCAAAAAACGTAGGATTAGACACCGAACTTGACTTTTTGTGAAATTTAAAATGTTAACCCCCTCCCAGAGGGTTGTAGGGGGTTAAGGGAGGAAAGGACTTGTTTTTGGTGGCGTTTTTCGGTTTCAGCGCCCCAAAAAACGTAGGATTAGACATCGAACTTGACTTTTTTTTTAATTTGAAACTCCAACCCCCGTGAGTAGGTGCAAGGGGGTGGTTGCGGGAAAATGGGTCGGCAAAAAAATTTTTCATGGTCATATTCGGTTTCAGCGACCCCAAAAACATAGGAATATGGGGTTGTGCTTTTTGGGACCTGACTTTTTTTTTTTTTGTGTGCCTGTGTTATTTCTTTGGATTTAAATATTTTTTATTTTGCACCAAAATGCCATAAAATCTAAACGACCCTAAAATGGATAAAAAAAATTTAGTTGTCAATAAACATGTTTCTTCAAATTTAAAAGTAATTGAAAGAGGAAGCTTATTTTCTGAAACGGAAAATAATATACGTCTCCTTTTATAGTTTTCTGCGCGTAAAGGGCCCAAATTCGTCCTGAAAAATATCGATCTCTCCTGGAACAGAGTATATATATATGCAATTTTAAACATTATTTGCATGAAACTATTCAAAAGCGAGGAATCATGCGATTTTGTAGAAAAAATCAATTTTCTCAAAAAGGGACCGATGGATGATTTTCATTTTTGTTGCAAACATCTTCTTTTTCGTTGTAGAAAACATCCCAAAAGAAAAATCTTGGTTATTTTGACTTTTCATAATAATCGCTTAAAACCCACCGTGGATAGCGAGCGTTAAGGTCGAGGGTTCAATTCCCGTCGGTTAGAAATTTTCTCTGTTAGGTACATAATCATTAGGGCATAAAATAAGCGTCAGTATAGGAGAGAGGATGAAAAAGTCAATTCTACTGATAATAAACAATTATAAATAAAAAATAATTTTATTTTCCTATTTTAAGTAGTAAAATCTACTACTTAAAGTAGTAGTTTTAATTGCAAAAGATTTATTAATTCTACAAAAAAATGTTCTTAAAACCTATTGAACCTTTTCAGTAGTAAAGTTTACTACTTAAAGTAGTAGTTTCAATTGCAAAAGATTTATTAATTCTACAAAAAAATGTTCTTAAAGCCTATTGAACCACTTTCAGTAGTAAAATCTACTACTTACATCTTGAGTTGTTTTAACATTTTTAAATTGAGTTAATACAATCACAAAATGTCATTCTACCAATTACATTTTTAATTGGTTTAACTATTTTTATATAGTTAATAGAACCGTTTAAATTCAGTTGAGGACCTATTGTACTACTCAGAGTAAATAAAAAATAGTAAAACCTACTAGTTTTTTTCAGTGTATATGAAAGTAATAAATCTCTAAAATATTAACTCATTAAAAAAAATTGTAGAAAGTAAAGGGGGTTGAAGTTTTGACATTTTCGGTAACATTTTAATTTTCAAATCCATATAACAATGACAAAACTAAGTGGATTTTAATTTAGGTATAATGAATTAAAGCATTTTTCACGTACTTTTCAATAATGAACATGAAATTTAAGAAAAAAAATTGTCACCCCTTTTTTTCATTGCATGCATGCATGTCCACAAAATAATGCCTTATATTTAGTTTTTTAAGTTTTGTATTACTTTCTATAAACCGTTAAGCTTGCAAGCAATTTTTAAAAATCCATTTAAGGGGAGTTTCTGGTTTATAAATCCAAAAAAATAAATTTTTTTTTGCTTGAAAATGTTCCTTAGTATCATAAAATTACTGTCCCAAAACGTTTTTTAAAAAATATGTAAAAAAACAAAAGTTGTAATCAAAAATTGTTTGATAGTCCTGGATCAATGTATTATGTTATGAAAACTTTAAACGCGTTTTTCTCGAAAACACATTTTTCAAACTGGTACACGGCTTTTCTCGAAATCTACTAAACCGATTTTAAAAAACTAAAAACCATTCGATTCTTTAATTAGTAAACTAGAGAATAAACCTTTGAAACTTCATTTTTCTACCCTCTGTTTTTTTATAAGAGGGTTTGAAATTTGAAATTATATATTACAGGTTGTCCGCAATCACTTGTACCAAAAAAGGCACCTTTTAGAAGACGCCACCTATAGCTAAGAAATTGAACTAAATACAATCAAAAAAATTTTTTTTTAATTTTCTCTATGTAATATGCAATAATGTCCAAAAAGAATTTTTACAATTTATTTAATACTTTTCTTACAACAAAAGTTTTAAAACTTTTTTTTTAAGTTTTGTCAATTCTAAACCAGAAAGTCCCCTTAAGGCCAGGTCCAAGTGAGGCAGCGCCATCTACATTGATACTAAAATTTTGGAAAATTTTCAACAGCCTTTTCTTGAAAACAAGATGGTAAAATGCTTTTTCCTTTATGGATAATTGATTATTGGCAAGATATACACCAGCTAAAACTTTTTTTGAGTTAAAATAATAAAAAAAATTTCATGTCAATAAATTAAATATGAGCACTTTTTTCACAAAAACTGTAACAGTACTTTCTCAGAAATTACAATCAAAAATGCAATTTCCATTTGGAAAATTAATAAACGCCAAAAAATACACGACCTAAGATTTACCAATCACGAAAATAACAAAAAAAAATTTTATTAAATATTTAACATATTGATACTGCTTTACTGATTGTGACAGCCCTTTGTAGATTATGTATTTCAGGTGGTTAGCAACAGCGCCAATCTCCTCCTTTCGGCAAAACTGCGAAACGTCTGGTGACATATATAACCTGCCAAACGGCTGTCATAATGAGTAAAATATGTTATGTTAAAATACTTTTTTTTGTTATTTTCGTGATTGGTAAATCTTAGGTCGTGTATTTTTTAGCGTTTATTAATTTTCCAAATGGAAATTGCATTTTTGATTGTAATTTCTGAGAAAGTACTGTTACAGTTTTTGTGAAAAAAGTGCTCATATTTAATTTATTGACATGAAATTTTTTTTATTATTTTAACTCAAAAAAAGTTTTAGCTGGTGTATATCTTGCCAATAATCAATTATCCATAAAGGAAAAAGCATTTTACCTTCTTGTTGAAATTTTTCCAAAATTTTAGTTTCAATGTAGATGGCGCTGCCTCACTTGGACCTGACCTTAAACTTATTTAACTCATCAGGCCCATTCCGGCTCTTTTTGCAAAATCTTCTGTATATTTTCAGGCATAAATAAATCATAATTTTTTTTAATGAGTGTAACTGTTTTTTTTTTTACTTTCGGTGGGCTGAATAATGTTTTTGGGGTGTAGAAAATGGTAAAATAATGTTTGGCATCGTTAGAGACTTTGTTATGCTGTTTAAAATAAAAAAAAATTTCGTCGAATAAACGTAGCTTCAGTCTTATGTTATTTCAACTGTCAATTTTCTTGCAAACTTTTTGTAATCAAAGATCAAAAGTAAGAAAATGTAGTTACGTACAGGTTTCTATTAACAATTAGAAATTATTAAGCAATTAATTATTTTTTGAATGTTCGTAATGTTCTTTCCTTCTATTACGTGACATTATTATCTAAAATATTTATTCTACAAAAAAATCTCAATGGAAAAAAGATGCGCATTTATATTTTTGCATAAGGTACTATTTTTTAAAATTAAAAATTTTAATTTTTACACTTTTGTTATTTTTTGAGAATGTGGTTTTTGGATTCCTGAGGTCGAAAAACATTAATGTATATATGATATATGAGGTTTCTTCATATCATATGAAAAAACGGGGTCATGTCTTGGATTTTTTAATGAATATTTTCAGATTTATACAATAAAACATTTTAACAATATTGTTTTTGCTTTTCTTATAACTTGTAGATAAAAATTATGTTCCTAGAAAAATATTAATTTTTAAACAATTTGTTCGAAAAATAAAATTTGATTATAATTTTTAAACATGCTCTCCCTCTTTTTGAAGCACGAAAAAAATCGTGAATATTGATTAACTCATAATGAATCAATAGTGTAATTTTTGAGGTGGCAATATTTTTTTCGAGATATTAATTAATTAAGTAATAAAAATTAATAAAAAATGAAATATTTGACAACAAATGAAGTTAGAATAATTTTAAAAACGCCATTCGAATATTTATCGAAATCAGCATCCAACAAGACCAATATTAACAAATTTTATTTTTCAAACTAATTCTTAAAGTTTAAGAGCTGCGTAAAGAATAATTCTTAACATTTTTTCTATTTTCTCTAGATATGATCCCATCTTCTCATATTAAATGCCGAATATAAAAAAATCGAATTTGAAAAATGTTTATAAATTTTCTATAAAGAAAAAATATATATTCCACACCCTTCAAGATTTGGATCTGCATCAGTGAGAAAGACCCTGGTGAGTTTTTTGTAGTGAGCTCTTTCGAGATGCTGGGAAACTGCTGGACTGTAGGGCCTCCATCGCCCTTGTCGATTTTCCCATTCCCAAACAACCACCGCATGTCCATGCTCCGATGCTGAACCTTGAGAACCGGCACTCATTTCGCACTAGATACCAAGATTCATTACAATTGACACTGACACATAATCTCGAAAAAAAAACATTTTTCTTTCTTTGTTCCCTTAATTTAATATCTTCATTTTTGTGAAAATACAACTGCTTTCATTGAACACGGATGAACACAAATTGAACAAAGGGACAGAATTGAAAATCTACATTATTAAACAATATTCAATATTTTTTCATAGAAAATTGTTATTTACAGGTTGTATATTTTTTTAAGGCATAAAGGCCAATATAGAATAAACAGGTTGATGCAATATCGATTTCGAAAAAAATATTCGATTTCAATAATAATATCGATATTTTACAACTCGATATTACAGAGAAGCGCAGTGATGGGTACGTATAATACGTGGTTTTCTACGTGTATAATACTACGCATATACGTGCCAAGTTTTCTACACGATGTATATTACATTTGATCACGTGATTTAAGAGCGGCAATTTTAAATTCTTCATTAAAATACATCATTCATTACTTTACACTATTGAAAGAGAAAGTTGTTAATATAAACAAAATTTAGGTAATTATTAATTATTTTAACAATTATAAAACAAAATTTTTAATTATTGAAATGTTTTTATATCGGTTTTATTTCTAAGTTGGTTTCACAGATAAGAGTGAACACCGGGCCACGTGCATAATAACATAACCTATATTCTAAGTATTATATTGTCAGTCTAGTCGTTTGGTATCTCAAAAAATAAACAATTTTTAAATAAAAACTTTATAAACAATAACAAACAATAATAATAATACGCTTATAGCCAGTGTTTTTCATAATGTTTTGACAAATTAAACATTTAGCAACATTTTTATTAGTGCCTAGCTCTTTCATCCGCTCAAATTCCATTTTTTTCCCAGGGCAAACCCTCTTTAAAAGATTTTCTTTTACTTTTTCTGACCATTTCTATTTTATTTTAAGACTTTAATTTAAATAGAATGATAAGAAAAATTCGTTATGGCAAAAATCAGAGGATCATATAATAGATGTGAAAATGTCAGGCTGCAGTCCCATGGCAGCGTTTTGCGTTGCGTTTTGTCACTAGACCGTGAGTGTAAACATAGCAAACATATATCTGCATCTCTTTTACACTCATGGTCTAGTGACAAAACGCAACGCAAAACGCTGCCATGGGACTGCAGCCTTAGTGGTTTTCTACATGGTTTTATACATTTTATACGTATATTACGTCGAAAACGTATTATACGTACAAAACTTCGTGTGACGCGTCACAACCCATCACTGGAGAAGCGGCAGTTCAATTTGGACAAAGCGAGACGTCACTTCTCAAAATGGCAGCTTCTAGGAAGACGTATGGCTGCAGTCCCATGGCAGCGTTTTGCGTTGCGTTTTGTCACTAGACCATGAGTGTAAAAGAGATGCAGATATTGGGAACGGTGGTCTAGTAACAATCTAGTAACTTTGACCCATTCTCTCCCTCCATTTTGTTTTTTCTACTCTTTCTAACCTATTAATTGAAGAGAGACAAAGAAAGAAAATGGAGGGAGAGAATGGGTCCCCACCAGATGGCGTATTGCAGACTTGCAGTTTAGCCGATCCCAATATGTTTGCTATGTTTACACGCAGGGTCTAGTGACAAAACGCAACGCAAAATGCTGCCATAGGACTGCAGCCTATGTCGTTTCCGAATTGGGATTTTTGTCGCACTTTTGATAAAGTGTATTAGGCTCTGTCACTTGTGACGTCAGAGTCGATTCTAGGTGTGACGTCAGAGGCCTGGAGGGACAACAAACAGACTAGGGTAACGGCACCAGTGAAAGAACATTTAAGGAAATGCATACTTTTATCATTTATTATTTTTGAATGCAGTTATTGAAAATTTTTTTACCAATTTTTTTTCGATAGCTAATTAAGTGTAGAATGCGAAGGTCACATTTAATTTTCATAAATATAAGATGTTAATTAAAATTTTAATTAATAAGTAAAACATACCTATTTCACCAGTGAAAGAACAAATTGTCTAATGAAAGAATTTTCTGCATCCAGTGAAAGAACGATGTGAAATATATATTTAAAATATATTTAAAAAATATATTAAAACAAAGATAAAGTAATAAAATGTTTGTAATATACTAAAATAAAGGTAAATTAATGATAATTATGAATATTTTTTAACTAAGTTTGCAGAATCTTATTTTTAATTGAAAATGCATTTATAACCTACAATCAATCATCTACTTGCAATTTATTTTGACAATATTATTGTAACCTAACAGTGTTAACCTATTTGATTTTGTCATTTTTTTGTTTGACTTCAGACTATTCGTTGAAGGTGTTCCTTCATTGGATTGCATTGGAACCAGTGAAAAAACATTTCTGTTCTTTCACTAGTAAATAAAAAAAGAAACCCCAATGACGGAATTTGCTTTTCTTATGGCAAATTAATATTTTATTAGCTTTTAAATGAAAAGAAGTATTTCTAATACACAAGATAAATTTAGTTTAAAGAAGACCGACGATTTAAGGCAGTTTAAATTAGTTAAATGTGAAAAAAGAAATAACGTGTCAGAGAAGAGTTCTTATTGTTGAAGATAAATTTGTAACACAACATTTTTAAAAATTTTTTTTTATAAAATTTACGTGTTAACTCTCTAGGTATCTTAGATACTAAAGACGTAAATTAAATATGGAACATAAAAATATATAATTTATAATACCAAATTGCTTATTACACTAATTAGAATGCAAAACATGAAATTTGTTCTTTCACTGGTGTCAGTTCCTTCACTGGTGCCCTTACCCTACACTGTAAAAAAAATTTCCTGTAAATTTACTACTTTCAGAGTAGTAACGAATATTACCTTCTTTTAAAGCAGTGATTTTACTTAATTAAATGTGGCAAATTGACTAGGTTAAGGCGCTTGTACACCTCACCGATCCCGAGTATACTTCTGTCGTGTACTATGGGAGTAAAAGAAACAAAAGATATTTCTGTCTCTTTTACTCCAATGGTACACGACACAAGTATACTCGAGATAGGTGAGGTATACAAACGCCTTTATGTTCGCATTTTTACAAAAAACTATAAAATTACAAATACGGTAGTAATTATGTCACATTGAAAGTAGGTAATATTTGGTACTACTCTGAAAGTAGTAAATTTACAGAAAATAACGAATGTGCTACTTTAAAAGTATAAAGTTTAAATCAGTTATTGTATATTTACTGCTTTGAAATAAGTTCAGTTACAGGGAGAGTCCAGAATAAGTGGTTTCTGAACGTCGATGTATCATTCTGTCTTTGTCTTTCCCATTGATGTCCCATAAGACCGACGCGTCGCTATCAACGCGTCAACGCTCAGAAACCCGTATTCTGGACTCTCCTACAGATTTTGGTTACATTACAAGTTCAATCCGTAAAATAAGACAAATTTTTTTTTACAGTGTACACAATGTTATTCTTATGGGGAAGAAATTTAGTTTCACTTTCATCAATTTTATTCAATTGGCCTGACTAGTCGAAGCCACAAAAAAGAAGAAGAAGAAGAAGATCAATTTTATTCATACGTTAAACATGAAAACGCTTGTTGGCATATAATAAAATTAAAATGTGTGTTGATAATTAATTTTGTTATATATTTGATTCAATTACATTTATAGATTCTCTGAATTCGTGATAAAATATAAATTTTGAGGTTAGGGGTGTTTGTTTACTAATCACATTTTACATTTTAACAACATCATTAAACAATATCCAGTATGCATGTTATTAAAAAGATATAAAATATATATTTTAAGTGGGAATTACCACAGTAGTAAAAGATTTCAAGTTAGTAAACAAACTCCCCTAACCTCAAAATTTTTATTTTATCACGTATTCAGAGAATCTATAAATGTAATTGAATCAAATATATAACAAAATTAATTATCAACACACATTTTAATTTCATTATATGCCAACAAGCGTTTTCATGTTTAAAGTATGAATAAAATTGATGAAAGTGAAACTAATTTTCTTCCCCGTTAGAATAACATTGTGTCGACTGTTTGTTGTCCGTCCAGGCCTCTGACGTCATATCTTGAACTCAAAATATCTCGATGAACTGACACAGCCTAATACTCGGGAAGTATGCAGTGTTCTTGTTTTTCCGTGCGAAAAAAAGAACACTGCATACTTCCCGAGTATATACTTTATCAAAGATACGTTAAAAATCCTAATTCGGAAACGGCTATACAATGCATTGGAAGTCAATGGAGCAAATCAGTTTTTTTAAAATAACTTTTGAAAAATTAATTTTTGAACCCGAGTGTAATGGTAAAATATTTTTTATTTATCGAGATCTATTTTTTAAAAGAATAAAATAAAAAAATTATTGTTTAAAAACTTATTTGCTCCATTGACTTCAATGCATTGTATTGCACACTCGTGGCTAGATATGCAATCGTAAACGCAACCGGAAGAATAAGTTAGAGAAGGACAAGCAATCTATCTATCCTTCTCTAACTCATTCTTCTGGTTGCGTTTGCGATTACGATTCCGGTTACGTTTCTATTCTGCTCAGGCTTTTATGGAGCGGTCACACCTCGCCTGCAGGAGCAGTTGCCAATGGCAACCGTGTAAGAGCAAGAGAGATGGAAAATCTTCTATCTCTCTTACTCTTACACAGTTGCCATGGGCAACTGCTCCTGCAGCCGAGGTGTGACCGCTCCATTAGCGCACTTTTGTTAAAATGTATACTCGCGGGAAGTATGCAGTGTCCTTGTTTTTTCGTGTTTAATCTCAGATCACCTACAATAGGTTCTGAGTATTGCCAAGCTTTTACCTTGACAATTGGCAGCAAGGTAATTCAAGTTATCGCTTAATGCATAAAAACTTGAAAATCAAAGTGAAATTGTTTCAGTATTTTGTCTCGCATTTCAAAGAAAATAGGCTTAAAAACCATATACAAAATTTTTTTCTTATTGCTTATGACTCCTATAATAGAAATTCACTTGAATTTTTAATTTTTTTTTCAATTTGGTTAATTGACAAAAATTTAATTAATTTTTATCTATTTAACATAAGAATTTGAAAACTCGGGGTAAATGGGGACAACTTGTTATTACATATTAACCAAATTGACAAAAATATGAAATTCAAGTCAATTTCTGTTATGGAATTTATAATTATTATTTGCATAACAGAAATTTTTAAGTCTGCTTGTTTTCAAATGCGAGACAAAATATTGAAATAAAAAAATTAAATAAAAAACATAAACCAAGCAAATTTAATAAATTTATAAGAA